CGATGGAAGATCCCTTTTTGCTTTTTCTTCCACCAACGCGTCCAGTCGGCGTTGCTTTTTTTGATTTTCTTGTTTCATCCACCCTTCCCACCTGCCCGTCCCCTATATTTTTAATACGCCAAAGAGGAAACACTATACCTTGCTTCACGAGCAGAACGAAGTAGATACGTGGTCGGAATCGTAACGCAACGTTTAAACCGACAGTTTAAATTAGTATTCCTTTTGAAAACTCGAATTTTTGCTGTTTTCCTCGCGGCTCGTTCGAAGCTCTCGTAAACCGCGTAATCCCCCTACCAATTACCAGGTTATGCGCACATACCCGTGCATACATATATATAAATATATTCATACTCGTACGTACGTAGAAATATATATGTATAGCGATATACATTATGTGGGATGCATGAAATCCTGCAGAAGACAAAAGGGGTACGTGGGAGATGATGCTGGAGAAAACAAGCAGGCAAGGGATGATGATGATTAATACGGCAGGTCGGCAACGATAATCCTCATTACAAAACACAGAACGCGGAATTAGTTGAAGATTAGGTTCGGACATTAGGGTCACTTAGTAGCAGTCATTGGTCCTCGCTCTTGCCCCGAACTCATCTAAATTTAAATACCTTAACACCTACTATATATTAGTCTATTCCGCATTCACACCTAACCCGACAGCCAATCATTCGTTCCCTAATGGCTAGTGGTGAGAAAAGGATCTGGAAAAATTTTACTCCATAAATCAAGAAATTGGAGATGAGAAGGGACTGGATATGTGTAGGTATATATATATATAACGTTCACGTGACTTCTGCCTAAGGACTATCCCATAAAATCATCCCACCTAATAGGCACTCCGCTTTACAAGCCCTAAAAATTACTGTTATCCGAACTCTTATAGCTTTGTCTGTGCAATCCATGAGAATTTACCATACTAAATTTAGATACGTGGGTACACGTAACTCCTACTAGCTCTAAAGTGAAATAACACGTCATTTTTGTTAACACTGTTGAATCTTACGTGGTTACGCCTTGGGATACTCGGGGATTACTAAAATTCAGGCTTTACGGTCGTAAAGCACCGGTTTGTGTATGTGAATCGATATGTTTAAATTCGAGTGGCGTAGAAGTTCTTCATTCGAATTGCCTTGCGCATTAGAGAAATAGGAGAGGAACCGAGTATTTTTTTCCATGACGAGTAATAGCACGGCACGAGACTCTACCGAGTGTCTCGATCGTCATGATTTTTAACGACCCATTTTCGTATTGGATAGGTATCGATAAAGCGAAGTTACGAGCGAATAAATTATGGTAAATATTTTATATTACAAAATGGATCCTAAACGCCTAATCGCGAAGAAGTCCCAAAGAAGGAGTTTAACGTATAAAGTCATTTTATTGTAGGAAGCACGTAAAGAAAAAATCAATCAATGATCTCCCAAGAAAAATAAACCAGTGATACATCGTTTGGATCTAGAGGATCATAGGAGGTTAGGAGGGCCATAGTCCTATACCTGGAACATGAGAATAGGTCGTGACGGTCATTTCCATTGGACGGATTCATGAAATTGGCTTACACGAAAGGGTATCTTCCCATTTGTATTCATTGTCTTTCGTTCAACTATTCATATTCATTAGCATCATCATCGCAGACCATAGGATACGGCTATAGTATAGCGGTACTATTATCTCTAGAGAACGTTGCACGTAAGGAAGTCACTTTCCTTCCCGGATGACATCCTAAGATTTCTTTTGTTCTTTCCTATGTCTTGGGGGTTGTAAATTTGGCAAGACGTCACTCTTACAGGACGGACGATCGAACCGTGGCTAGTAGACAATGTCACGAGACTGTGCAAGGGGTAGCTACCGAACAGTTAAATGGCGCCTACTCTGCGACCCTCCAATCCTAGGAACCTGTCCTTTGTCCATCTTCATTGTGCAGCCCGTAATCACCGTACAGTGTTAAAGGACTTACTGCAGCAGTCTAGTGCTGAGTAAAAGTGATTTAGTAGCACGAAACGATCAGACGGACAGCGGGCGGGCGTCAGCTTGGTATTTACGGCCCTGTCCCCGTAAACAGCCGAACAACCGAATGGCCGTACGGCAGAAGGAAGCGGCACGGGTTTTCACTCTTGGAAAAGTGGAGGATCTGGTAGCTAAAACCATAAAGTCTCCCTTCGTCGTCTTTAGGATTCTTCTCGACTGCTCGCTCTACACTCGGTGCAGCGAGGTACTGCGACTGCTATAAATCTAATTCGGAATGCCGCGAACTCGTCGATGCTATACGTAAAAAGGCCGAAGGCTACGGCCTCCACGGAAATAGTACAGGCCGGACGAAAATAAAACTCTGCGGATACTTGCTGAGGGGAGTGTCAAGAGGAGGATAGTGATTGAGAGTGAATGAGAAAAGGGGAGATTCCGTATACGGCTGACGTAGGAGAAGCGTCTTTACCAAGTATCCTGGCAACTGTCGCTATTTTGTTAAATTAACATTTATTAGCTTTTCTCAGACGAACATAAATTCTCGGGTTAGCATGGCACGAGACATATCCTACGCTTATACTCATTCCATAGAAAACTCTCTCGGGATGCTGGAAAACTATTTCTAAATTTCAAACTCCAAAGTCTATAAGAAACCTACGCCATTTTCAACATTTTCGTTTCGCATAACTGCCCATAATATAGTGTGTGTATGTATACACTATACATATATACTCATACTCCTTCAAATTATCCGACATTTTTTTTACCCTCTCATTCCTGCAAAGAGTCTAGCCTCATTTTCTTAAAGAAAGAAGAAACAGAAAAGAAAAAAAAAAGGAGAACTTTCAAACTCTCCTTCTTCGAAGATGAATGGAATGAATGGAACAAAAATTGTCTCCAGACTGGTATTTCATGACTTAAAATCCTGCACGTGTTTTGAATCTGTTTGACCACATGGTCATGGTCGAGAGCACGTGGCAGCCAAACCCATTTGACGTTTCCTTTCCCTGGAAGATCCATCCTCTGTATTCTCGGGGTTTAGCAAAGAAGTTAACGGCTATTAGGCATTTCCTGTTGTAGCGATACGAGGTTAGTTTGTAATTACATCCTAGACAGCCGACCGATAAATATCATTCCCGGCTTAGTATCGGTATCGGGTCGTTCGCGTGCTGCTATCTTATCGCGCGCAATTACTTAAGACAATTAGTAAACGTAGAAACAAACAGTGAATTACGAAGCGCTCCTAATTGGAGTCTTGAAAGTACCAGCAGCCTGAAATATCGGGGTCGAATCGATAAACTATATTTTATCCTGGTGCAAAGAGACAAGAGGAATTGTTGCCGCCGTGGATTCGTATGCGTATCAAATATACGTGACGGGTACGGGCATATCGTAATGGACGCTTTGCGATAATTATAACTGACTCGTGAACGGAATGAAGGAAATTTGGCTGAAATATTGTACCGATGCAGAGCGCCTGACCACATGAATGAGTACATAACGCAAACGAATGGATATCGTCGTTATAAGGAAATTATAACCGGATGCCGATGCTCCAATTGCATTTTATGGGTTTATTTTGTGTTTCGCGCCAACAGCAGCACTCCTATGCATTATAAATAATGGAGCTTTGCATGCGGCACCTGAAGGTAGGAACAAATTGAGTTCGCTCGTAAGCTTGCCTGAGCTTGGAGCTTGATTTGCAATTACATCTCCGTGTCCCCCCCTTGCCCTGTCCTTACGTCGGTGAGCTTTTCATTCGGACAGTTTCCGAAAGCTCCACGTGCATCGAGCACTGCAATACTTTGCCTTGACGGCAGACACGTCTTCTACGGGATTCTCATCTGGAATTGTATCTTGTATTTACTGCACAGCTTACTCTTTGCAATATTCATATAAGTTTTTTCCCCCCAATGCTCGTGTTGTTCGTTTCTTAGTTACTTTATCGATTATTTTCTTTTCTACCGTTCTTACTGTATTCTACAGAATGGGAAATAACTATAAAACATGAACTATTCCATTGGTTTGTCTCGATATCTTTAAATCAAAAGTTACGCCTTGAAAGTCTGTTATTTTTTTGTCGTATTCACACGTGGCTCTGTTTCAACACCTATCACAGATGGGTTGAAGCGTCATCCATCCAGAATTGGCGACAGTGCCGTCGAGAGAGAAATAATTTCGTGAACCCGTGCCAGGCAGAGCTCACAAATCTCCATAATCCTCAGCGTATTTTGAATTTCACTAGAGAAAAAAAAAGGCAACCAAAAAATCTAACTATGGTCGTCGCGACGTATGCCACCAAACAGTCAAGGATTAATGACCCATTACGGTCCTCGGAGTACAGTTTCCCGTATTATCGGTATCATTTTGTATTATCACCGAGGCACAAATCAAGGCCGAAAGACGATGGTCCGTGGCCGTTAATCCCAGAGGTCCAATCAGCCGCCCCGAAGTTCAACAATAGTGGTGTGTCCATAGCGGCAATGTTTTGCTCTCTCGAAAATATCAGTAGCACTTACCGGTCATTAGGGACAAGCGCCCTTAGGGGTCCCGCTGGATAAATGCAGTGTGTAGTCCATTTACCTGAAACATCACAAAATATTCGTGTAGAGTGAAAGCGACGGAATTTCCGTTACCGAAGAGATCATTATTTACCTGAATAGCGTTAAGTGGTCCACCACAAAGCAGCTGACGGCTCTGTACAAGATCCTCTTCCGTTTGACTAATTTTTAATAATTTCTTTGTTAAACGTAACTTATATCCATTTTCTCGTCCGTTCATGCGTTATACTCGATCGAATACGCATACTCACGAGTACGCATACTATCCTCGTGCGCCACAGTGGTTGTTATTTCAATTGGACCACATGTTATCACGGAAGTCGTTTGACGAACGGTAGAAAATATCCTGCGACACTTCCTGGTGCATGGCTCCCGTCGGAATCCTCAGTGGCAGCCACCTGTCCGGTAAATCCCTAAGGAACCATACACACAGACATCCCGTTCCGAGGAAATAAAGTCGTCCTTATGAGAGCGAGAAGAAAAAGTCTCCTATTACGGTAGCACATGTTAAACGTATGTGCACCCATAGTGACTCCAAGGAACCCCGTGGATTCTGGCAAGAGAAAGAAGGAAGAGCTATTTATCCCCAGCAATATTTTTCTTCCGAATTTCTCAACCTCCGTAAGAATCTTATACATAGAAACTTTAACAAGAACTGACATTCGTATACAGTTTAAAGGACGTCCTGTGGCTTCTCGTTCTGAATCCCATGTATATGGGACACGAGGTACATACCTAAAGGAATCATTCCGGGAGGCGTCAGGATAACGCGATACGGCACACGTGTTCCCTTTGACCCTTGCGGTTCACCAGAGGCCTGGATCACGTTTTGTGAGGACACCCGTCGATAAATTCAACTGGGACGAGCCACACCCCTTGACACCATGGCTCGATAAATTAACGCGGCATGACAGAGACGTTATAATCCAAGGCCTCAATAAAGGAGCATCGGTGCTGGTTCGGGCGTTACCTTGCAATTCGCCGTGAAGGAATAATGAAATGAAAAAGGAAGAAAGAAAGGAGGAAGGCAAAATGGAAAGTGCTCCACCTTCCTATGGTTCGAATAGGAGGCCCCATTCGTAGCACGGTGAACCATGGTTCGTAGCGGCACGTGGTGTGTGTTCACCAAACGGAAGCATCTGTGTGCTACGTCACAAAGTAATGTTGAAATCACAAAGCAGAAAATCGATGACAAAAGCGACCGCAATGAGCGCCGATGATATATCTCTTGTATTTGTATACAATAGTCGCTATATACAATATATATATAATGACTAAATATTGCTGAAGATTTCAAACCAGGGTACGGAACAGGGAAAAAAGAAGTGTACCGGTGTCGGGTTGAGTATTGTGATGTGACTGTGATTCTACATTGATCACGAAAGGGACCAAACGACAACTTTTCCAACGGATAGATCCCAATGAGTTTGAAGATCGATGGATCTTCACTCCTGTCCACAGTTACGTATAATCGCATGAGACCTTTAGATCTGGGTCCGTGATAATTTCCATTGTAACGAGAAAAGTGAAAATAAACGAAAGTAGTGAGCACAGTAAGAGGACTGGCTTACAATAGGATGTATACAAGGACATGCATTCTCTCCTTATCAAAAGATTTGTCGATGGTCCTTGATTGACTAAAGATCCTTTCAGGCAATCAGGTCCTTCAAAATAAATAGCCAACTAACGACTTCTCTCGTTAAGAAGTATCTCGCGACTAGCGAGAATGAACTAGTATAAAAATAAACGTTTCCAAGCACGAATATCTCATCGCTTCTTGGTACTTTCGATCCTAGTATAAAGTCGGTGTGTGTGTGAGAGAGAGAGAGAGAGAGGGTCAGAGAAAATGCCTGGGAAAGGTGTATTTATTTATCCGAGTCGGTGCAGTGACAACCCGCCGAGAAAACAAATAGTGCCTTTCACGTTAACGAGTCCGACATTTTCTCGACTACCGGAGTAATCATGACGCACTGATGATAAGTCACCGCTCTGTTTAAGGAAGGTTTAGGTTATTTTCGTCGAAGGGTTAGTTACGTAGATCTACTTGGTTCGGAACGCTGGAGCTCGGAGGTCTGAAGAAAACACGACGGCTTAGGCAGAGTCGCGTAGGAGGGTCTTAAGAGTCCTTAATGAGGTCGTGGCACGTCAGTGTCTCCTGTCTCCGATGCCTAGAACGTCTACCAGCGCAGCCAAGGTATAGAAGTATGCAAACTATGTCAGGAGATTGTTTTGCCTTGGGCGGTGCACGCTTGGCGGAAGGCTCAACTTATGTTTGAGACATTCTAGGTAAGGTGAGACCGTGAGACTCCCCCATAGCTAGGAAGGGTGAGGCACTTTCTCAAGATAACGCCTCGTTTCCTCAACGTCCGTGATTCTCCGTTGAAATGATACTCGAGAAGAGAATGGGCCATTTCGGGATTGTGACAGGGTCCAAATAAAATAAACCCAGAGATGAGAATGTTCTCGGTACCGGAGCTATCGTAATGACATGATGTATAATATATATAGTATATTTAAGGGCGAGCGATATTTTTTTGGAATTTCAAAGTAAATAGAGAGTGGAAAATATGGATTCTACTCTGACGTCGAATCCGTCCTGCCTGCAAATCCGACGGGTTTGCCCTGGCTGAGAGGCCATTTTTCTCCTTTAAGGAAAATTTCTTCCTTTTCTCCCTTATCCTATAGTCCTTTCCTATACTTCGCTCTTCTTGTTCCTTTTCCCTCTTACTCTACTCTATCTTTCTCTCTTTCGAGAAACGAACCGGGCATCCAATCTCCTTCACGAGTTTCACGGCAAACAGCTGAGAAAATTGCTGTCGGTCTCGTATAGGAGCTTTGGCACGCTGACTTGGCGATACGTCAAACTTCAAATCCGACGAGTTTTCCTATCTTAATACCAAATCTTACGTTTATCATATGCTGGATAGTAATAACATTTAATGGATGTTTAGGAATTTCCGCTCCGTCTTCTTCACGGGAATTAACCTAGTACGCATATCCTTTTTACCTTTCTGAATTACCCACCAAGGTTTCCATTGACGCAAAGGCTCATCATCCTCTTCTTCGAAAGACCGCCTCCAGGTTTCCGTTTCTGAGTAGCTATCTCTCTGTGGGGCAGCCTAATTTTCTCTCTACTCTCCTTCATTCGCTGCGGTTCAGGACTCGTGGCACCCTCTTGAGGATGAGAAAGAGCCCTCCCCCTCCCATACACACCCTCCGACGCTCGCTCACTCATTCACTCACTTTCTTACGCGCTCTCTCTCTCTCTCTCTTTCTCTCTTCTACGTACTCTCGTTTTCATTTACAGTTCGCAAAGGAAATAAAGCAAGGCAGGTTGTCGAAAACCCTGGAGGGTCGCTAGAGCAGAGAAACACGTAGGCGAATAGACGGGTTGTTCCTTTATTATCTTCTATCAAAGGGTGACGACGGTGTCTTTCCCTTTCTTTCCCTTGATAGCCGAAAATACGTCTTCGCGATTCGGCACGGAAAAAGTCAGGGGAATAAAAATCATGCACATGGAAACTTCTATAGCAAAATATTCTAGCCCAAGGATCCATTCGATCGTGTGTTGCAGCAGTTAACCTATAAGGGTAGACCGCGTAAACACTGCTTCTCGAACTTGTTAATGAAAGTTTTCAAGTTTCTCGAATTTTTTGTATTCAACAAAAGGTGAAACAAACCTTGGTAATAAAGGGGAGTGGTCGTGTGCCCACCTCACCACGTAGATCTAACGGATAGACGGAAAGCTTGTTTTTCGTAAATTTCTTCAGCCACCGTTTTGCGAAGAACGAGGCTATTAACTTCGTCACGAAGAGACTGTCTGGCACGCGAACAGTTTTCCAGTCGGCGGACTTTGATTGATCGGCCTGAAATTTCGTGGAATTATGAGGAGCGTGGAGTGCACCCCAAGTACTAACGGTGGGGCATACGGCAGGCATCGATCTTTACGGTTTCTTGCGTTCTTTGCCACGATAGTGACGTCATCGGTCCCCTTGAACCCTCCACTGTAAGTACCTACGTCGTTCTACGGTAGGCTGTACCTCGTCTGTTTGTATCGTCCCGGTTTCGGCTTTGAGAGGATTCAGCCCTTCGCGACGAGAGTCTCTTCCTGTCTCTTGGGAGCGCGAGCACAAGACGAGGAAGTTACGACGCACGTACTTCAGAGCCATCATATTAGCTACATCGAATGAACGCAGCGGGGGTTGCTTCTTGAAGCAAGGGTGAGGCGGGTCCCGAAGATTCCGTCTATAATACGAGAGTCGTGTATCAGTATAAGGGTGTGAGGTAGAAAGGGGGTTGGGAACCGGGGCATTGATGTCAGGATGACAGGGGTTGGAACCTTGCTGTCGTGACGAGAGGGATGGCGAAGACTCTCGGTGGCCGAAGGAAGGCTGAAGGGTGCACGTCCTGGGAGGAGAGGGTAAGCAGTCACATCTGCGATATCCTCAAATCACCCTTCATCTCGGACTTCTCGTTCCACCCTAGGATCTCAACCCCTTTTCACCTTTCAGGAAAGTGGATGGACCATCTTGTTGCTATTGTAACCCATTAGCCCCTACAAAGGGCTTTAGGCTTCAAAGGTAACGCAGGCTTCATTGTCACACGATATCACGTCACGTGGCACGTTATCAATACCTAAAATCAATCTATAGAAATTACCAATGTTGGAAGAATCACCGGGTCGAATTTCTTATTTTTGGTCTGAAGGGAAAAGAAAAAATATATTTTACAGTAATTCAAAAAAAGGTCCATTTGCAGGCTCCCCGAGATGCGAATCCCTGGCAGTAAATCTTGTGAAAAAAAAAAAAAAAAAAAAAAAACAGTAGACGCTCTTAGAAAAGAAGGATGTAGATAGACATAAGGGAGCGGATAGCGGAGGCACCAAGAGACGGTAGATGGCTGCTCCGCTATCGGAGAACCAAGGAGAACACTAGCGGGGACTATAGGGGTTCGCAAGGAGCGATATAATATGAATATAATAATTTATGGTGTATCGAGGCATCAGTGCAAGGTGTTACCACGAGCCCGTTCTCTCCATAGCTTTACGCTTCCCTTAGTTCCCCAGCATCCCGGGCGCCGCCATCCGTTCGGGACCTTCGTCCACGTCCGTGATGACGTTCCCGCGCCACGTCGCATCTACGCACTCGAGTTATACGACAGTGAACAGCCCGAACTGACGCTTTCTAAACTAATGTGCCTTTTCGTGGGAGCGACTGTTACTGAACCGTAGTAGATACCAAACTGGGAAGGAGAACTATGGCTGCTACGGCAATGATAACTAGCTGGCTGCGATTCTACTGGGTGAACGTAGCTGCCTGTACAAGGGTTATCGCCAATAGCAAGCTTTGAATTTTCATGAAACAGCAACTTCGCCCGGACTGACCAGCACACGCTGATCAATGCCAGTGACACGACGGCAGATGGACATGTGAAATATTATTTTATCCAGGTACAAATGCAACACGTACCCACGTATATTTTTATGGATATGACATACTGGAATGCGTATAGGGTGTAAAAAAAAAGCAAATGACGCGTATCCTTTTACTATAT